CCGTGAACCGATATCGTCTGCATGCACGGATGCTCCTTCCTCGTCTTCACCAGACAGGAACCCATGACAAGAGCAGCCAGCATTGCGTGCGCAATTGCCGCCAAGCCCGATTGCCTCTGTCGCTATCAACAAGCCACCTGTTCACTGCCTCAGTACTGCGTCAAAACAAACTCCCATCCACTCACTGCACTCGGCGTCGCGAAACAACCACCACCACTCGGACCACCTGCACTGACGCGCTTTGTTACGCGGTAGCAGTCAGGCAGACGTCATTGGGCCGCTCGCTTGGGATAATCTTTGCGCCACTTTGGACTGGACGCCAAACCACACAGAATTAGAACGTGGACCTCTCGCCCTTCTCACTGGTCTCGTCGCTCGCTAGCACCCTGGAACACCGCCTGCAGCCCTCGCATCCGCCAGCGCCTGCTCTGCACGCTAATCTAGAAGATCCGCCCCTGCTGGCCCTCCGCTGTGTCTCCGCCGCGCCCAAACGACCGCATCCTGGCCAACGTCCTGAGCGCCCGCCCGGCAATATCTGCCACCCATCCCGCCACGAGGTGCCTTCCTGACGGTCGAATCAATGTCGAGCCCATGTCACCCCAGCCGGACGCCCAAGGAAATACCTCACCCCCCGCATCGGTGAGGTCGACGGCCAGCCATGGACTGCCCACGCCCGACGCCGAGCACGACCAAGTGACGCCCAAGAGCCTCGCGCAGACGGGCCGTTCACGCACCGCGCCCATTGTCAACGAGAGCAACCTCTGGAAGTCGTCAATTGACCGCCCCCAGCTCGACGAGCGCGACAGCATCTTCGCAACCACGTACCTCGTCTCCGACAGCCCCATCTCCTCCCCGCGGGCCAGCGCACGCAATGTAGATTCTGCCAACGATGCTCCCGAACACAGTCTGGCTGAGATGGCAGCGCCAGCACCTCCCCAGAGGCGATTGATGGATCCGCCCATCATACGCAGGAAGCATTCCACCCTTCCTGCGCCTTCTTCCATCGACCACCAGGCCGTCCTGACTACCCCCTTTAACCCCCGCGCAGCCATTGCCGCCGGCATGACTTTCGACGCCATCCATCACAGTCCTCCGCCCTACATGAGCCCAGTCGACTCGCCCGTACAACACCCCACCACCCCGCCCCGTCCCGAGCTTCAATACGAGGCTTTGCTGGAGAGCGAAGAGAGGCGCAGGAACAGGGAGTGGCGCGAAGGGAAGCCTGTACCATTTAAGGGCAACATGATCTTGGATCAGCCCGTCATGGACGTGGAAATGGAGAAGAAGATTGAAGCAACGCTTGCCAAGACCGAACAACCCACTTCCGCACGCAGTCGAAAAGCAAGTCACTATCTGCGTGTATTCAAGGATGGCGATCCTACCGAAGAGCCGAAGAAGAAGGACAACAAGACAAAAGAGCGTCCTTCTGCTGAGAGGACCCTGTCCGCACTTTCAGAAGAAGGCTCAACCGAGACTATCGGCCTCATTGACCAGCTGCGCCGCGCATCACTAGCTTCCTCCGTCGTGCAATCACCTCTAGGCGGTCCGACTGATTCATACTTCGATGCGAAAGCGGCGCCCCGCACCGAGTCAGGCGTTGCCTCTCCACCTCCCAACGGAAGCACGCGACCAGACGCAAGTTCTCAGGACAAGCACAAATTCCCAAGGCGTCTTCTCGAGGACATTCGCGGCTTCGGCAACCTGACTCCTGGTGCGGACCCACGGTCTTCGTTCTCTCGCAGTCTACCCACATCAGCTGTCGAAAAGGTTCACGCGCATGCACCAACGAACGGAGCGACACCTTATGACGAGCCGTCCGATTATTTTCAGGTTAAAGACGGAGGCGATAAAGAATGTACGCCAGGCTCGGAGGAAGATGAAGAATCGGAAAAAGAACAGATCTCTTCGGCTCTCTACTTTCCCCATCGCCGGCTTAAGACAAGTGAGCAGGTGCCTACAGAACCACAGAACCGAGATAGAGAGGTGAATGCTGTCGATAAGCGGGCTTCAACTCACGAGGTTGCGGGGCCGAAAGGGTGGGCCACAGAGAAGGATGTTCAAACTCCACAAGAAGTAGAAATTTCTCTAAAGGCCCAAGATACCAATCAATGCCTTCATGGTGATATCTCCACGGCGACTTCCTTGAAGAAAGATAAAGAGCAGCCGCTGACCGCTCCCGATGCGCTCTCAGCTGAATCTGAGTCTGAGTCGCACGCCGAGTCTACTCAATCAAATCTTGGTTATGAATCCAGTGCGACTGATGAACTAGGAACGACGCCCACTGCGACTTCGCACAAACAGGAACCTAAGGCTGCTGCGCCTCAGGTGGCTCAGCCGCCGGCCCCACTGGGTGCTGTGGAGCTGAAGCCATACGATCACCAAGTTGGCGGTCATTCTACTGTTTACCGTTTCTCTAGGCGAGCAGTATGCAAACAGCTAAACAATCGAGAGAATGAGTTTTACGAAACAGTGGAGCGGCAGCATCCTGAGCTGTTGGAATTCTTGCCAAGGTACGACCTCTCCCCGCTATTGATCGAGGCTGAGACATCAGCGAAGATCATTGCCTTCGCCTCGGTTCCTGATTAGGATATTTGCTAACATTGACATCTAGATACATCGGCGTGTTGAACGTGACCTACCGAAAAGCCCCCAAGAAGAAGAAGGTTGCCAAAGACAAAGCGAAATCTGATGCTGCTCCCACTGCTTCAGCGACGCAGTCGGAAAGCGCGTCAAGACAGGCTTCAAAGGCTCCCGAAGACCGGGGCAATGCGGAACAACCTCGAGTGGTCAGCCACTCGCAGCAGATTATGCCCATCCCCCAGGTCATCTTTGAGAACAACCGGCACATAATCCCAGACAATCTGTTCCGCGTGCCACCACGCTCCACCACCCCAGATCCATGGATGCGCAATGCTTCCTTGTTGCAACAACAACATCGACGAAACCAAAGTGATTATGGTCACATTTCTACGAGCCCGAGTCGGCCCCCATTGCAGCATGCTAGCAGTTGGGGTGTGACGACGATCAACAGAAAGCTACAGGAGGAGGTACTCCGGCAGGTTTTTGCGCCGCCAACTATTCATCATCGGCCACGCCATCATCATCACGGGATCTCGGCTCGTAAGACAGGAGGAGACGTTCCGCAGAACGTGGCTGGCTCTGCGCCTACGATAAGGAGGAACAGCACAGATGTAGCTGGATTGCATCCACCGCTCACAGAAGAGTCTACACGGAAACAAGTTCTGAAAGCTGAAGCGCACCGCTTCGCCTCGGAAAGGAGCGCTGATGCTGCCGTTTCCAGCTCCCTTGGACAGCCAGACACCAACGCCGATGCCCTGAAGCCGCCATCGAACAATCTTCCTCGCCGTCGTCATTCTGGCAGCGGACTGACTAGAAGGCCCTTGGGAATAGATACTGTCCAGAGACACAACCTGGAATACTATGAAGAGGATGGCTACGGTGGTGACGCAGAGGAGGAAGTATTTGCTATGGACGAGGATCGCAATGCCACGTCAGACGCAAAAGATCAGCACCGAGGCCGATCTGTGCAAACATCTGGCGCAACAAACGGGGTTCATCCCCAGAATCCATCAGAGGGCACAATGCTACCAGCCCCTGCCGCACCAAATGGCAATGGCGCTCCACTGGGCGAGGAGCCTTCCAATCCCGAAGAAGCGCAACAACAACCCGACGAGCGCGTTCAGCACTTCATTCTTCTGGAAGATCTTACCGCAGGCATGTCCAGGCCTTGTGTCTTGGACCTGAAAATGGGTACGCGGCAGTATGGAGTGGAAGCCGATGAGAAGAAACAAAAGTCTCAAAGACGCAAGTGTAAGATGACAACAAGTGCTCAGCTCGGCGTACGTGTTTGCGGCATGCAGATCTGGAACGCCAAAACCCAAAGCTACATCTTTGAAGACAAGTACTTTGGCCGCGACTTGAAGGCTGGCAGAGAGTTCCAGGATGCGCTGAAGCGCTTTTTCTGGGATGGGACAAGTTACAAAGCAGCGACAAGACATATTCCTGTCATACTGGAGAAGATCAGTCAGCTGGAGCGCATGATACGGAATCTTCCAGGCTACCGATTCTACGCAAGCAGCTTACTGATGCTCTACGATCGTGGGGATGGAGAGTCGAAGGAGAAAGACGCGCAACCTTCACTGCCCAACGGTTTGTCGAACCCGAGCAGCGAAGACGTCTCAGTAATACCATCCGGACCCACATCACCTGGCCCGACAGCCGCCTCTAAGCCGACACCTAAGCATCTCCCAGAGATTAAGCTCAAGATTGTCGATTTCGCCAACTGTGTCACCGCAGAAGACCCGCTGCCTGACGACTTACCTTGCCCACCCCAGAACCCGGATGGCATTGATAGAGGCTACCTTCGTGGTCTGCGATCGCTGCGGCTCTACTTCCAGCGCATCTGGCACGACATCAACGAAGAGTGGGTCGAACGAGGCGAGGGTGAGGGTATGGCACGCAACCATCACCACGGCCCTGGCCTAGGTGAAGTCGGCGCGGGCTGGATGGACGATGCCGGTGGCGAAGACACGGGCTATGCCAGCTTCTAAAGAAGAAGTCGAGCGAAGTCAGCAGAGCAGAAGAGCAGGAGAAGAAGAAGTTGGTCCCCAGACACGTCTTTTCTCTAATTCCTTTTTGACTGGCGTTTTGATTTTTCTTCGGCTTCAGGGACGCAAGCATGGCGTTTGGGCGCAATCACGGAAAGACAAAGGTAATGAAATTGGTAACTACTCTGGCATGCATCGGCGCATAGCATTTATGGGCGGCAAATCCTTTGCATTGCTTTCTTGTTTGTTCATTCTGGGGTTTATTGGGATGGGGGTGGTGTTTGTGCTTTTGGAGTTGGTTGGGGTTTCTTGTATACTATCATGGAAAGAGTAGGGTAACGCTAGCCTCATTAATGCAGCATTTTGAACATGAGTACGTTATTCTCACATTAACAATCATCACCTCGTGTATGCATACTAGAACTCACGGCTCTACATGCCTTCCGAAATAATCTCCCCAAAAACAGCAACACCCTTCCTCCCCAACGCCGTCCCCACACCCACAGCTCCAGCCCCTACACTCCTCATCCTCTCAAACCCGGCCTTGTTCTCCACACCACCCACACCTATAACCACAACCCCCTTCAGCTCCTCAGACGCAGACTGATCCAGCAACCGCCGTAACGTAGCTACATTACCCAACGCAAGAGGATGCAACGCCGCGCCTGCCAGCCCACCTATCCCGGTGCCGTTTGCGGATTTCAAAGCGGGTTTTGCTGTACTTTCCCCATCTGAGAGGAGTAAACTCGAACCCAACGTGTTTACCGCTGTGATGAAGGAGATGGGGCTGGGTAGGTAAACGGGTTTCATGCTGTTCTGCACACTTTCCACTAACACACCTACCAAGCCCTCGAACTGCTCGCTGTACGTGTAGGGTGGGATTTTGATTCCAACGGGAATTTGCGTTACACCCCCGCTTTTCGTCAGGCCGACATCAATCGCTACTTTGAGCCCAAGTAGATACTCGCGGAGAGCAGCGGTGTTGTACGCTGGCGGCGTTTTTCCGGGGATGTTGGGACACGAGAGGTTGATTTCCATGGCTAGCGTCATCTTAACATCGGACTGCGTGGTGGCGATGAGGCTGTAGCATTCCGCTATCTCCTCTGCGGAGCCTGTCACGGACACAATGACCGGCTTGAAAGTTTCCCTCCCGTTCGGCGGTACGGAGCCCAAGCCCTCGTTAATCGTCTTCACATACTCCAGGTACTCGGCCAGCGGAATCGGTGAATACCCCAGCGTATTCAAACTCCCTGTCGTGCTAGCATCGCCGCTGAGGTCTTTGTTCGGCGTGCTGGTTGTGTGCGTTGAGGGGTTGAAGAAGGTGAATTGGTGGTGGGCGGGATCGTGCGGGAAACCGCCGAGGAGGGATGTACGCGTTGTGATGGCGCCTGTGTGTGGACTGTCGTAGAGTTCCTGGAGTTGTTCAAGGGTTGTGCACCATGGGTTTGCGGAGTTGAGGAGGGGTGGGGTGATGGGTGGGAGGGGCATTGTTGCGATTTGTGTGTCAGTGATATGGTGTGGTGGTATGGAAGGGGGATATAGGAGAAGGGGGGATGTGTCGTCTTGGGGGTTTTGTTCTGAGAGTGGGGTGGGGATGATAAGCTTTCTCTTGTCTTCGGGCTTTCTATAGCTTGAGATAGGGCGGATGATCTGTGACTCATTTAGAAGGTAAGTCAATCTAAAGGAGCTTCCTAGATAGGTAGGTCGATATATTCGGAAACGTGTCATAGTTCAGCACTTCACATATTAGAAAGCTTCTGATGATTCTTTACATTCATTCATTCAGATTCTCCATGATTACTTGAACTATACACAGTACTCACTCGAACCCATCTTCACCACATACTTAACCGAACAGCACATCACCAAGACGAATGGAAACAGTCTTGGTCTGGATGTAGTTGTCCAGCGCCGCCTCACCCAACTCGCGGCCAATGCCAGACTCCTTGTAGCCACCGAATGGCAGCTGCCAGTGAAGAGTGTTGTAAGAGTTGACCCAGACAGTTCCAGCGCGGAGCGCGTTGGCAACCTCGATGGCAGTGGTGAGGTTGGAAGTGTGGACCGCGGCGGCAAGACCGTAGGTGGTGTTGTTGCCGATCTTGATGACGTCGGCCTTTGTCTTGAACTTGGAGATTGTGCAGACGGGGCCGAAGATTTCTTCTTGTTGGATCTTCATGTCCTCGGTTACGTTGGAGAAGATGGTGGGCTCGATGAAGTAACCCTTGTCGCCGTGGCGGTTGCCGCCGGTCTCGACGGTTGCGCCGGACTTCTTGCCCTCCTCGATGTAGCTAGCATTTGTATTAGCATTGGCTCCAGATTTAGAAGGACATGATATTGCTTACCCCATGATACGGTCGAATTGGAGCTTCGAGACCTGAGGTCCCTGGAAGGTGTCCTTGGCGAATGGGTCACCGACAGCGTTCTGGGCGGCCCTCTCCTTGAAGCGCGCGATGAACTTGTCGTAGATTTCTTCTTGGACATAGATACGCGATCCAGCGCAGCAAGCCTGTCCGTGGTTGAAGTAGATACCGAAGTTGACCCAGTGGATGGCCTCGTCGAGATCGGCATCGGCGAAAACAATGTTGGGGCTCTTGCCTCCGAGCTCAAGAGTGACCTTCTTCAAGTTGGAGCCAGCAGCGGCCTTCATAATTTGGCGACCGACGACGGTTGAACCAGTGAAGGCAACCTTGTCGACATCCATGTGGGCGGAGATGGCGGCACCAGCGACCTTTCCGAAACCAGTGATGACGTTAATGACACCTGGTGGGAAACCGGCCTCTTGGATGAGCTTGCAGGCTACGTATGCGGAGAGAGGAGTCTGCTCAGCTGTCTTGATAACAACGGTGTTACCAGTGGCGATGGCAGGACCAATCTTCCATGACCACATGAGAATGGGGAAGTTCCATGGGATGATTTGTCCGCAAACACCGATCTGAAATTGTTAGTCATGGGACTTGGACATAGAAATGTGTAGAACCTACGGGCTCCTTGCGGATGTAGTTGAAGCTGTCGGGTGCTGTGTCGACGACCTTACCCTCAATCTTGTCGGCCCATCCTCCGTAGTACCTCAAGCAACCAGCGGCGGCAGGGATATCGACGTTCCTGGCCATGCTGAATGCCTTACCGTTGTCGAGAGCCTCAACTGAGGCGAGAAGATCGGCATTCTTCTCAAAGAGGTCGGCGAGCTTGACAAGCAGCTTTCCTCGGTTCTCTGGTGTCTCCTTCCGCCATGGGCCGTTGAAGGCCTTGCGTGCGGCAGCGACAGCAATGTCAACATCCTTCTCGGTGGCCTCGGCAACATTGCAGATAACCTCCTCGGTAGATGGGTTGATGACCTCAAAGGTCTTGCCGTCAACAGCCTTTACGAACTCATTGTTGATGAAGCTGGTTGATATCAGTATTTACGATACCGAAGCATTATAAACTCTCCGAAGAATATCGGAAACTGGATATCTGACTTACAGTCCGGTGGGCTGCTCGTACTCGCCCGTTTGGGGGGTTGTTAGCTTTACGGATGTCATTGCGAAAGCGAATTGGGGTATATGGACAAAACAAAGCTGTGAAGTGAAGGAGGGGTAGAGGCACAAGCAAATCCTTAAGTACTTTCAGGAGCTCCGCATGACGACACTAGAGGATATCTCCACTCGAGACAGGACAACAGTACGATCGCCCAGACAGCCTCGGCCATCAGGAGCCAGTCTCAGGAAAGCGCTGCAGCCTATTGCGTGTCTCGACGATGCATGGCCGGGTGGCGCTTGATGCAACGGCGGAAGCTCTTGCCCCGCTTTCGTAGCCAGTGGTAAGCTACCCCTCCCCCGCAGTTCTGCTCTGGAAGTCGTCGAAGCCGCAGCTAACCCTGCTACACGCGGTACTGGATTCTCCAATTTGGAATAGACACCTATTGGCAACTGATGCGCATCCGCAAAAGGCATTTCTCCACTTGCGGCGCGTGGTCATCTCGATACAGCATCTTTCTATAACGCATATCGCAGGACTAAGCTCGGAGCTCTAGACACGTATCCAAGCAAAACATACCCACCATCGGAGCCACTACGCTAAAGCCGAAGGGGCAGCCCTATGGACCATATCATCGTACCCCCAGCTAGCTCGGCCCTTTTTCGAGCGAGCACCGGTATGGCGAGGATAACACTGATCCACAACCCCGAGCCTAGAGTAATCGCTGTATGCACGTGGGCGACCTGGATTGCAAACATTGAGAGCGCAAGATACTCAGCTCATCCGGACCGTCAGCTGCATCGGATGAACGCTCCTTTCACCCAGCCAAATCCTAGTCAGAGGCTAGAGTCCTGGTAGCCGCGGGCCTCCACACCACCTAGTAAATCGCGGGGAAAGTGCGACAAAATTTGAACTAATGACGTTGGCGTGAGAACTTCGCACGAAGGGGTACTGCGGCGCGAATAGGAGCATGCAAGGACCGAATAGCTGTCAACCGGAGAGCACTACAGATGAGCAGATGGTGGTGTGATCCGGGCTGCTGGGAAGCGTCAACCCGGTCAGCACGAGTAGAGTTCACATTTTGTTGTTGCGGAGTCCTCCGGGGAGAAAAGCACGGAGCGATTCCGCTGTACCGAGTCGTACTGTCTAGCAAGCTTTCTAAGCCTCGCTGATCTTCTATATGATCGTCTCTCTGCAGCATGTCATTGCCGTCTTGGTTTGTGCAAGCCTCAGTATTGCCATGTTGCCACGCACTAGGAATGTGGCAGCTCTTCATTTCGGTGTTTCAGCCAACACGCTGGCCAGGTTTCGTCCACAGTATCAAGAGAGCCCGGGAGGTCGGTATATGTGAACATTCGAATAAAGGCACTTCACAATGGATGAGTCGACGAGATAAGTTTTCATGATCATGTTTCCGATTCATAGCCATTCTGATTGAAGCTACCAAATACCCGGCGTGCAATTTAGGGGCCGTGAATAAACGTCCATGAATAGTTACAAGAGCCGAATTGTGTCCGATGCTGACGTTCCGTTGGCAGCAGTAGACGTTCGTGATAAAGCAGTTTCCGAAAAGATGACGCCTCCAAGAAAAGAAAGATTGAAGCAGACCGACTAGCAAAGGGTCAAACCGATTCCGTTGGATGTTGGATTAAACCGTGACAAGTGAAGTGAGTGGAAAGCGTCTCAAAGCGAAAGAAGCTCAGAGCATCTCGTCGTCCATAGCAGTGTCACCGCCGGCGGTGATTTGTGCAACCTCAGCGCCGCCAGCAGCAGCGATGGTTTCGCTGCCAGGGAAGTAGTCGGCCATCTCGGCATCGAGCTCCTCGACGGTCTTCTTCTTGGGGCGGGCCTCGCGACCACCACGGCCCTTTCCTTTGCCACGGGTCTGGCCACGTCCACGAGCGGCACCGGGAGCAGCCTTCTCAGCGGTGGCCGGCTTCGGCTTGTCCTTCTTCGGCTGACTGAAAACTTGTTAGTTGCTGGTTACACTGCAAGGAACTTTTGGTACGTACGTTACACGATCGGCGAGCGAAGATGGGCGAGTGGCGGCGGGAAGGGCGGCGGCGCTGACGAGCATCTCCACGCGAACAGGGCGGCCGTCAATCTTGACGCCATTGAGGTGGGAGGTGGCCTTGGCGGCCTGGTCATGCTTCTGGAAGATGACGGTAGCGCTGCCAACGCTGCGGCCCTGGGCATCGTACTGGAGAAGAACTTTCTTCGGGCGACCTACACCAACAGCATTCACAAAGTAGTCCTATGAGGCGTATTAGTCGTCGTACCAGGGTAGTTTTCACGCGCGTAAAGCAAGATCGACAATGAGGTTCCGGCGTCGGCGGTGGGTCGTCGTCGATTCCATATACTCGGTTAGAAGGTACCGCTCAGAAAGTGGGTGTCCTGGTCAGATTTCAATGACCGTAAGTTCTGAGACGAAGCAAACTCAGCGCGAGAGCAGTTGTTGCGAGTAACGTATTGAAACGCTGCGAACCAATCTTTTAGTGTCTGCCCACACCCATCTGTAAGCCAAAAGGCTGTCCGAACGGATTGGTTTCGCATCTCGCTGCTCTGTATCGGGCTAGAGTTGCTGCAAGGCTACCGGGAATATCACCGGTGCGCTGCCGTCTGTGCTGACACAGTGAAGTGGAGCACATTGACTTGGATCACCCACTTTCGTCGCGGCGGTACCTCGGAATGTTCGCATGCTGCTAGTCTTCTTCCTGTCTTGTGTGCCCAACACAGATCTTGGAGTGACTTTGGGCAAGCTATGGCTCAACATCCATACCGGAGCGGAGGAGGAAGTCTCGGTTCGTCGGATCGAGTTCGTTCATGCTTGCAAAAGCGAAGCTGTAGTAGGCTCAAAGACCTGCATCGGTCTTACATACCTGGAGTTGGGAGTTGTCAATGTCCCGTGGCTGCGACATGTTAGTGGTGGTTTGGGTGTGGTTGTGTGACTGAACATACCAAGTTGGATACCATGATCTTGGTCTCACCGCCGCCGAAAGAAGCGGCGGGAGCAGTGGGCGCAGGCTTGGATTGCTTGTTGCCTTGCTTGGTCGACTTGGCGACACCGCCTACAGGGGCGGCAGCAGCGGCCGGTCGTCCAGCGCCAGAGCGGCGAGCGCCACGACCACGGCGGGAGGTCTTAGAAGCCTTGAGGATGTCGTCGAGGCTCTGCTCCATCTTGTTTGAAGACATGATGAGTGGTTGAGGGATGGTAATACTTGGGTAAGCGGGCGTTGATGGAAAGGCGCGCTCGTGTCGAGTGGGCGACGGAGATGCAGACAAGTAGCGAAGGCTGAAAGTCTCTTTTATGGAGGCGCGACTGAACCGGTGAGGTCTGAGGACAAAGGGGCGCGCTGTTCGATGACAGGGCGCGTCGCAGGAGGTGAGACTCGTGAAAGGAGAGTCAAAGTGGGCTTGCGCGAATGTAGAGTGAGTTGCGCGGGTTGTGGGAGCTGCTGTTGATGAAGAGCAGATGGGTGTGGGAGTATTATGTGGGAGGAGTGTGAGAGTGAGATGAAGAAAAGGGAGAGCGCGAGGCAGCACTCAAGACAGAGGGACGCGCCAAGCCCCGACACTGCCACGCACTGCTGCCTGGTGATTGGCGGACTGCGCACGGACGCACTTACCCGCAGAGTCCATGGGAGTCGCGAATGACGATAGCTCCTGCCATTCAGGCAGTAGGCGATGACAATGGAGCAATAGCAGTATGGCAGTCACTCCGGTGCGTATTGGCTCACCCACATTCCGCTTCACAACATGTCCAAGCTAATGCGCGAACAGTGGCAGTTCAAGTTCTTCGACGTCTCGCAAGTCAAGCTCCCCGACGACGAGAGCTCCTTCCTGTCCGAGGTATGACGATACCTCCTCCGCGCATGCACAGTCTCATAAATGTTATTAGATCGGAAACATCACGTGCATAGTATCTGGGTCGGAGAGCATCTTCCTTGGCAGCGCAGATGGCATCGTCCGCATCGTGTCGCAGGCCTTCAAGGTCGTGCGCGCGTTCAAGGCCCATGACGCAGGCGCGATCACCCACATGAAGCAGGTCGAAGGCACCTCGCTTCTCGTTACGATTGCCGAAGACCTTTCTGGGGAGCCGGTACTGAAAGTATGGGCTTTGGACAAGCTGGAAAAGAAGACGGGCATTCCGCGATGTCAGAGCACCCTCACCGTCCACAACGGGCGCAAGCAGTTCCCCATATCCGCTTTCGCAGCGCTCGACGACCTATCACAACTCGCGGTTGGATTCGCCAACGGTGCCGTTACTGTAGTTCGTGGTGACCTCATACACGACCGCGGCGCGCGACAACGGACGGTATTCGAGTCGGAAGAGCCCATCACAGGCATCGAGTTCAGGGAAGGGAGCATCACGACCTTGTATATCGCAACGACCGGACGCATAATGACACTTGTAATATCTGGAAGGGGGCAAGGACAGCCGGCCAAATCGCTTGACGAGTATGGCTGCGGTGTGGGTTGCATGGCGGTGGATAAGGCGTCGCGGGACGTTGTCGTCGCACGAAACGATGCCATATACTACTATGGTCAGCACGGCCGCGGGCCACCGTACACATATGAGGGCGAGAAGAAGATGATCTCCGTGTTCAAGGACTATGTCGCGATAGTCGCACCCCCCAAATCAAATGCGATGCCTCGGTCAAACCCTCTCCGTGCTTTCGGCGTCGGTGCCGCCGACGACGTCTTCAACACTTCGAGCTTCACCCTGCTCAACACAGAGCTGAGGTTTGTCGCACATCAGGAGCAGCTGACTTCGCAAGTGAAGGCCGTCATTTCCGAATGGGGCGACCTGTTCGTCTTCACGATCGACGGCAAGATCTTCAGATACCATGAGAAGCCCTTCGCTCAAAAACTCGACATACTGTACCAGCGCAATCTATACGTTTTGGCCATTAATCTGGCCCAGAAGGCTGGACTAGGCTCGTCACAACAGAACATCATCCTCCGGAAGTTTGGTGACTACTTGTATTCGAAGCAAGATTACGATACAGCTATGCAGCAGTATCTGAAGGCTATTGATAACACAGAGCCATCTCAGGTCATCCGAAAGGTATGTAATTGTGGCATGGCGATACGATCAATATTAACATCATGCAGTTCCTTGATACGCAACGGATACATAACTTGATTGAGTACCTCGAGGAGCTTCATGACCACCATAAGGCCACATCAGATCACACAACGCTCCTGTTAAACTGCTATGCCAAGTTGAAGGATGTGGAGAAGCTTGAAGAGTTTATCAAGTCACCGGACGATCTGAAGTTTGACCTCGATACGGCCATTTTGATGTGTCGACAGGGCGGTTACTATGACCAAGCGGCCTTCCTTGCTCGGAAACACGGTGAGCATGAGTTGGTCGTCGATGTACTGATCGAAGATTCGAAACGATACGCCGAAGCTCTGGCCTACATATGGCGACTGGAGCCCGAGGTGGCCTACTTCAACCTCATGAAGTACGCGACAGTATTGCTGCAGCACCTTCCCAAGGATACGACGCAGTTGTTTATCGACTATTACACTGGAACATTCCGACCCAAGCAGGATGCTATAGTCATACCCAATACGCCTGCAACAGGAGGAGGCGGTGGTATGAGTATGGGTCTCGGAGTAGCTTCTAGCGCTGTACAAAATCTTGCTGCACTACTTCCACTGCCATACATGAACACCAACGCGTTGGCATCGCCTCCGAGTGGTGAACAGAAGAGTACCATGAGCCAAGCCCAGATCGTCGAGACGACCTCAGATGAGCCCGCTCCAGAGTACAAAGTACCGAAACCGCGAACTGCGTTCTCCGCATTCGTTGATCACCCTCAAGAGCTCATAGTCTTCCTCGAGGCATGCATCGCATCCGATGATCTACGCGAAGATGACAAGGTCGATCTTTACACCACCCTGTTCGAGATGTACCTCCACACTGCATCGTCGAAGAAGGATGGCGAGCGACAAGAGTGGGAGAACAAGGCCAAAAAGCTCGTCGAAGGCAAGGACATACCCATAGACACGTCCAACGTACTGCTACTCTCCCATCTGTCCAACTTCCGCGATGGCGCGATCCTTGTACGCGAACAGCAAGGCCTTCACTTCGACATCTTCCGCTCCTACACGGCAGCGAACGATACGCAAGGCGCCATCCGCGCACTTCGGAAGTACGGTCCCCTAGAGCCAGCGCTTTACCCTGCGGCGCTTGCCTACTTCACCTCCACGCCCTCCGTCCTTGCCGAAGCCGGCGACGAGCTCGACTCGGTCTTGAAGAAGATCGACGAAGACGGCCTCATGGCGCCCCTCCAAGTAATTCAAACCCTGTCCACCAACGGCGTCGCGACAATGGGTATGATAAAAGCCTACCTCAGCACCACCATCGAGCGCGAGCGCGCCGAAATCGCCGCCAACCGCCGCAACATTGAGACCTTCCGCGCCGACACCTCAACCAAGAAAACCGAGCTGGAAAACCTAAACACCAAGCCCGCAGTATTCCAAAACTCACGTTGCCAAGTCTGCATGAAGAGTCTCGAGTTGCCTGTTGTGCACTTCTTGTGCAAGCACAGTTACCACCAGAGTTGCTTGAGTACGGATGAGGATGTGCATGATGCGGAGGTGGAGTGCCCGATTTGTAGTTCGAGTAATGCGACAGTCAAGGCGATTCGGAGGGCGCAGGTAGAGAGTGCCGAGAGGCATGATCTTTTCCAGGATGCGCTTAAGAGGGGGAGGGATGGGTTTGCGGTTATTAGTGAGTGGTTTGGGAGGGGCGTTATGGGGGTTGGTGGTGCGGACTAGGTGCTTGGGTACGTACAGGATTAGCAGCAACACGGCACAGACGGAGAAACTATTTGATGTTTGGGATTTGATATACATGTGAGCTAGACTGAGTTCTACTCTGCAATCGATCTAACGTAGATATTAAACGCCTTCCGCGGATGCGGCTCGATGCCTGTGCCACGTTGGCGACCGGCCCGCGCCCGTGTTCGTGGACCCACTACCGGGCCTCTCTTTCCGCATCACACCATCTCACCATACGCTCTCGGTCCTTTTCAACACTGTTCGGCGACATCAAATGGAAGCCATACACAACTTCACTTCATCTCTAAAAAGACCAGTTCTTGCTGCTTCAAACCCAAGATCAATCAAGTACCGTGCCGTCGGCAATGCCAACCATGAACCCGGCAGATTGGCTAAATACCCGCCAGGATCCTTCGGCATCCACCTGCAAAAGAGTATTGTTGAGCGAGCAAGGGAAGTGATCTCCCATCTTCTCTCGTCCAAACTTCCGGAGCTGCGTCCATTCACATTCAAGCTGCAGCGCTATGGACCCTACGCGACTCCACTCATAAATCTACATTGCGGCACAGCTGCATATGGCAGAGTTCCATGCATGAGGATGCAGAAAAATGGATCAGCGCGAAGATGAAGATATTATAAGCGAAGGGGATATATAAGGTAGGGTTTGTGTAGTGTTGTTCCGTCAGGACTGTAGTCTCACGTTCGTTGTTCGGTCACCGCTTTATTTCATACCTCGCGTCCAGGTATCTACAGGCGCAAAACGTCTTCATCACTTCGAGATGAGATTGTTCGGTATACCAGCACTGGCGCTTGCCAGTAGCGTCACCGCCGTCAAAGTTACAGAACACGATAAGCTGGCCGTACTTGGATTAGAAAACCTTCAACGTTATGTAGCGGAGAACGGCTCTCCCGACCCAGGTACATGTACTCCAGAGACGGCATCAGTACGAAAAGAGTGGTGAGTGGCAAGCATCTGGAAGACGTCTTTGCAAAATTAACACCATTCAAGGTCAACGCTCTCGAAGCCTGAGAGGAGAAACTACATTGACGCTATCAAATGTCTGCACTCTAAGCCTGGTCTTACACCAGCTTCGGTTGCTCCCGGAGCAAGGAGCCGCTTCGACGACTTTGTCGTGACACACGTTAAGCAGACATACTCCATCCACGCAACCGTACGTCTGAAAGCAGCCATATGTCGTCACATCGAACGACTGTTTGACTAGCAGAAAAACCACAACAGCGTCCAAGGCGACACGACAAGCTAACTTTGCCAGGCCAACTTCCTATCCTGGCACCGCTACTACATTTGGGCCTACGAGCAACTACTCCGCAACGAATGCGGCTACAAAGGCTACCTCCCCTACTACAACTGGGCCTGGTGGTACGAAGACCCCGCCTCATCCCCCCTCTTCGACGGCAGCGACACCAGCATATCCAACGGCGGAGACTACGTCCCCGGCCGAAACTACACCTGCGTCGGTGTCCCAACCGGCTCACCAGACTGTCCCATCAAGCTCGAGCCCGGAAGCGGCGGAGGCTGCGTTTCCGGACCCTTGGCCAACTGGACTGTGACTCTCGGGCCCATAGCCACAAAAGTAACGGGTATCAAACCGAACCCGCAGGCTGATGGGTTGGGATATAATCCCAGATGCATAAACAGAGATGTTAACAAGAATTCTGCGTATTTGTCGAGGGATGAAGTCATCACTGAGCTCCTCGAGAACAGCAACGATATTCTCACTTTCCAGAACCGCATGCAGGGCGATTTTCCCAATAGATATCTGGGCGTTCACAGCGCTGGTCATTACACTGTGGGAGGAGATGCTGGTTCTGACTTCTTTAACTCGCCGGCTGACCCTGTAAGTCTTCCCTTTACATTGCTGATTTATTCGGGACATTCGCTGACTCCTCATTAGGCCTTCTACTTCCACCACGCACAGATCGATCGCACATGGTGGATCTGGCAGAACCAAGATCTCGAGAACAGAAGAAATGCGGTTGATGGTACTATCACGTTCAACAACGACCCGCCGAGTCGGAAGGGTACGCTGAATGATACGTTGACGTTGGGTCCGATGCTTCAGGATGCGTTTGGGAATATCACGATCAAGGATGCGATGAGCACACTCGGTGGGCCGTTCTGCTATATCTATGTGTAGATAGATGCAGCGACGATGTATCGAGATCAATGAATGTAATGTAATACTCTACCACGAACCTTTGTGATGTAATGGTCTGGAGTTGCCATCCCGAGTGCCAGTGTAGGAACGGGTGTCCCCATGATACTAATCGTCTCAAATATCAACAAGCCGAACATGCCTAACATCCATCCGCTCAACGCATTCCCCCGTATTCCCAGTCTCCCTCCCTTCTTTCCCCTGCCCAAACCGTTTCCATTCCACCACGCTCCTCCACGGGAAGAGCGTTACAAAAACATCCTCCTCTCCCTCTTTCTTCCCAACACACCACCCGCCCCCGACCCCGCCCTCCGCAGCAAACCTATCCAACATCTCCTTCATTTCCTTGAATTCAGCTTCAAAAGCCTCTCTTTTCCCAGCCTTGATAGTGTAATGTGTAATACTCCACACCTGCTCCCCCCTCTTCGCCCTCTCCAGTTCTTCCTCTCCTCTCGGCAACGGCAGCTCCGCATTCGGCACATTGAGATGTTCAAGGTTGGAATCCACTGTGATGTAATCCTTCAAGCTTTCCAACAGTGCTTGATTATCTGCGCTAGGGATGAAGTCGTTCATGTGCTGGTCTAGCGAGTCCCATTCTCCCACTACGTAGATGCAGCTCGGATCAGAGATTTGCTGCATGTAGTAGAAAGCGCGGTTTGTGTAGTTCTGCAGGACCGTTTTCGCGTGGGAGAGGTTGGTGCAGAGGGTGGGTGATTCGAGCGTGGTGCCGGGGGTGAGGTGGAGGAGGGCGAGTTCGGTGATGGGCATTTTGGGTGGTGGTGGATGGGATGTTTGGAACGGAACTATTGCTGTGGTGAGTGGGTTAATGCGGCGTTAGTAGGTGATCAAAGCGAGATTGCGCGTCTTTATAACATTGGTAAGATGGACGCTGCGAGTGCAAGGCAGACATGGCTGCGTAATCGCGTTCAGGCAGAAGGACGGTTACGCGGATGAAGGAATCGCGTACGAGCGCATTGCATGACGCAACAGCAGGATGCCTGAGCTCCAGGGCTGGCTTAGTCAGCCACCAACGCGACTTTGGCGTCTTTGACTCGCGTCAGTGACCTCCACGCCACAGACACTACGTATGAAGCAGCTCGTTCCTTATGCGTGATACTATCCATGGTACCTCCAAGGCACAACACCTGCTTGCTCCGTTCGAGCTGGAACTCATAGCATATACCCTCAGGACACCTTAGGCGAGGGTGCTAGTCAGATCTCCTACGGTTGCATCGATCCACCAGCTTTATCCGGCAAGTGTACGCGAAAGAGATATCGAGCTCATAATGGCTTCTCCTGCATTGGCTAAGAGGCGATTTCGGCGCGTTGCGCGGTCTCCAATGAGCTCAAAGGTGGGAGCTGTACTGATAAGCAGCCTGTTATCTTCGGAACGGTTCCGAATGCACCCCTCGCGATCATGCATGAAGGCATTGGATGCCGGTAGTGCCCTCGCACACTTGGACGATGACATCTATAAGTAACTGCTTCGTTGCTTTGCTAACAAGTTCTTCACTTGCTGTTGATTTCAAGGATTCGTAGCACCAGGTTCTAACATGGAGCATCTGCCGGATATCGTACCTCATGCTAGGTATATGCCTTCTGGTCATATAGTAGTGGTATCAATCATTGCAGCTGTTGCATTTGTAGCGTACAAGGTATTCTATTCATCTGGACCCAGCTATGATCAGCGATGTTGATAAATACTCAGGTATTGAGTCGCACCGACATCCCATACATACGCGGTATACCAGAGATACCAGGTGCTCTGCCAATTACAGGTCACCTCACCCAGCTCGGCGACGACCATGCGACAGTGTGCGAGAAGTGGTGGCGGCTGTATGGCAACTCGGTCTTCCAGATTCAACTTGGCAACACGCGCGCTGTAATTGTCAACTCCTTTGAAGACTGCAAGAAGATCCTGGTCTCGAACTCGCAAGGCCTGATTGATCGGCCGAAACTGTACACCTTCCATGGCTTGATCTCATCGACACAAGGATTCACTATCGGAAGCTCACCATGGGACGAGAGCTGTCGTAACAAGCGCAAGGCCGCATCAACTACCTTGAGTAAAGGCATGATGAAGAGCTACTACGACATGTTCGACCTGGAATCCTACTGCATTGCCCGAGATCTCTGTCGGGACAGCAATAGTGGGGAGGTCGAAGTCAGCATCCGACCCTACATCCAGCGCTACGCTCTTAACACAACCCTCACATTATGCTATGGCATCCGCATGGACGCCGTCTACGATGATCTTCTCCGCGAGATCCTCGAAGTTGGATCAGCTATTTCGCTCCTCCGCTCCGCTTCGGAGAACTATCAAGACTACGTCCCCATTCTGCGATACCTGCCCAACAACGAAAAGAACCGGCGCTCGAAAGAACTACGCGAGCGAAGAGACAAATACCTCAACGAGCTTCTAGACAAGGTTCGCGAGATGATCAAGAACGGAACCGAGAAACCATGTATAAGCGCCGCCATCCTTAAAGACGAAGAAACCCGCCTTACAGGTGTCGAAGTGAGTTCGATCTGCCTGTCTCTCGTCTCCGGCGGGTTCGAAACCATACCTGGCACGTTAGTCTCCTGCATCGGTTCTCTGTCTACACCCGAAGGCCAGATCTACCAAGAACACGCTTATGCCGAGATACGCAAGATGTACCCGGACGATGCAGCGCTGAAGCAAGCGTGGGCAACAGACTTTGAGAAGGAAACTGTGCCCTATCTGAACGCGATTGTGAAAGAAGCGGGACGATACTACACAGTCAGTAACATGAGTCTACCGCGTAAGACGATGAGCGAGGTCAGGTGGGGCGATGCGGTCATACCGAAGGGGACGATGGTCTTGATCAACGCTCAAGCTGGAAATCACGGTAGGCCTCTCTTCCACTGCACTAAACCCATGATCCTTTCGCAGAAGACTGACAGTCCACAGACACAGACTACTTCGGTCCCACGGCCGCAACCTTCAACCCCGAACGCTGGCTCATACCCCCAACTACCCCATCTTCCCTCCACACACCGACTCCCCACGCGAACCCCCCTCACCTCTCCTTTGGCGCTGGCTCCCGATCTTGCCCCGGCGCTTTGATAGCAAGCAAACTCATCTACGCTGCGCTGTTTCGCTTGCTCAGCCTGTATAGGATTGAGGCCAGTGTGACGAATCCGCCGAATACTGATTACGTGGATTATAATGCTATCAAGAGTGCGCTGGTGGCTATACCGAGGGACTTTGGCGTTAGGCTTGTTCCGAGGGATGGGGAGATGGTGAAGGCGGTGCTGGAGGAGGGGAGGGTGAGGACCGCGGAGTTGTATAAGGAGTAAAGCACAGCGTGGCGGCGACATTGACTTCGTGGGTGTAGTTTTGGAGCATTTTGTTGTGATGTAGTCGTCTTGGAGCATGATGAGCTTGGTGGTCCAGGTACTTTGTCTTCGAGCATGAGGTGAATAAGGCTTTGGTTCACACAGTCTCGTGCTACCCAGGTACCTCTGGTATTGATACTTGCCCTTCGAGAGGGCCTGATTGTATGGGGTAATCGAAGGTCAAGAGTCGATCATCAGCCTCGCGCTAGCGACACTTTTTCGCGCCTGCCTGTGATTCACTCACTTCAACGCTGGGTGCGGTTAGCGTATACCGGCGACAAACGCTCTTTCCTTGTCTATCTCGCACCACCGGTGCTCGGCAACGTCACACAACCCACCTCTAAACTTTCAGTTATGAGACCCCGAAGTACTCTAGGCATCACTATCGCGCTCGTCGCCTTGGTCATCGGTAGACTAATCGACAGTCCCGTGATTACCAGAACTTTCGGTGTCGACTCCTCGGACGCTCCTCCCCAGTTCAGCCCTCCAAAGTTCAATGCTCCGGAATTTGCTCCTCCTGCTCTCGCTCCCCGTGTCGATGGCGGCGACTTCAATCCAGGCAACTGGGCCGATGACACTAAATGGCAAAAGTACCTGGACAAGGGACATCACTTGACGCGTCTCATGGACGCCACCGACAGAGGCGCCGGGTGGCTCTCGAAAGATACAAGACAACCGCCTTCCGCAGCGAGCAAATGGACCGGCGAGCTCAGAGCTGAGATTCCATTGTGGTACTGGCACGAAGCGGATGTTGACACGGGCTGGGATGGCGATTTCGAAGCCAAGGGGCTCAAAACGGCGTTTGAAGGCCACGGTCTCAACTCGCAACCGAAGTTTGACGACGAAGGCGAGCGGCTGGGTGGGGACATTGAATGCTTCAAGATTACACACTATGACGAAGAACGGGAACCGGACCCACGCCCCCAATTTGGGGGTATGATGGCTTGCAAAGACCAGGATTATTACGTTGCGGGCAAAAAATACTTGGTATGTCATACTCGATCCAACAGCACCTGTAGCTGTCACAGACTTCGATGAAACAAGCATTGTTTGATTTTGAAAGCACGTAGCTGACACAGTCCAGTCAACTTGCGGTTACTATGAGTTCACTGTCAACATTGGCGCAAACGGTGGAGGCATCATGGCAACGAACATCGAGAGTCCGGGCCATGCTGTTCTTGGTAACATGGGATGGGGTCGGCCAGCAAACCCCGGAGAGCTGCCCGAACTTCGTACCGCGTCCGACATCTTCTGGGGCTTTTGGGTTCGCGACAACCCCAATATCAAGAACTTCCGCATGTACGCCGCTCATCATGTCATCAACCCTGATACCTGTCTTCTAGTCGCTCGGGCGATGAAGAACAAAGGCGTAAAAAAGTTATCGCCGTGGCCGGGTGCTGTTTTCCCAATTGGGACTGAGGAATACACGGCACTCATTGGTAAGCAATCTCACTTTCATATACCCTTTTGCAGAATACGTTGTCTTCTGGCAAGTTAGTCTAACGTCCGGGAAATGCTTGAAGACCTCTCGGCCTAGATTTCAGGTCGCGGCTGTAATTTAAAACGATACTGACTACCTCCAGCCTCACCCATCGGCGCGACTGCAGCATACTTTTTGGCGACCCACAAAGCCGAACTCGGTATCAAACGCATCTCCAAAGTAACGGTTGTGACCAATGAGAAGTCTCCCAGTAGGAATCGGAGGCTCATGTTCGATATGCACATCTACTTCGCTGTTGAAGACGTCCCACCAGACGATGTGACGAAGCCTGGCGGAGACGACTCTGCCGTCAAGAGAGAGACAGGACGGATCGACTCTAAGCTCATTAGCGTTAGGGACAACGGGACAAATCTGGTTCGCTTGCATAGCATGATGGCCTAGAGCTGGGTGTGGCATGTGGAAGGACGGGCGTGGCTGGAGGGGGAGGGAGGGCTTTGCGTGAGTAGACATGTACGTAGAACATGGTGCGGATACCCCCAGAATCTAATAGCACTTGCTCCAATCTCTTGCGGTATGACACTAGCATCCTGGAAAGGCTCCAATCTGTATCGTATTCGGCAAAATTATAAGTAGGGCGGATGGATACATCGTCTTTGGAAGTATACACTTATCAACATTTAGTGACGTGTATTCCGCAACACAAATTCCGCCGTTAGGCAGCTCCCTCGAGTTCACGTACTCTCGCTAGTATACCCTCCTTCCATCTCGTATAATCCTCCTGCTGGCGCTCCCCCAAATAGTCAGTAGCGTCCTGCATCATCGTCCCCAACCCAATGTAATCACTCCCACCAGATCTCAGCCCCATACCCTTCGCTTTAGCCGCCGCCGCCGCATCATTGCCCATCTCCACACCTTCCATCTCCTCCCCATCGCCCTGCGGCTTCACGCTGTCGAACCACTGCATCTGCAGCCACCCCTCTTCCTTCGCCATCTTCATCGTCTCTTCGATCTTGGCTTGTAGCTCGCCATCCTCGACGTCCTTTGTAGCAGGGAGGACTGAGACGGCTTTCACTGCTTTTGCGAGCCATTCGTTGTATTGTTGTATGGAGACGTCGATGTCTTTCATGCGCGAGTATACGAGGAGAAACACCACGACGATGAGGCTGAGTACGCGCGTGTCACTGACTTCTCCCGATGACGAAGTGGTGGTCGTGGCTCGTTTCGGTCGCTTGCTGGGTGTTTCTGCGGCGGCGGCGGACATGCGGGATAGAAGGGGGTAGATGGATTCTACGCCTGTGTATACGTGCGGTATCAGACTTGTGTATTCGAACGTTTTAGCCAGGGAGCGTATCGTAGGCATCACCCATTCTGGTGCTTCGCCATTGTTGTCATCGAGCCTCCTTGCGGTTCTCGGTGTTTTCCTCGCGCTCAACGGCGTTTTTGGTGTGTTGCGTGCTGATGCGGGGGCTGAGGCTTTTGGTTTGCTCGGTGTTGTTGGTTCGCGAGGCGTTGTGCTGTCGGGGAGTGCGCTGCTGAGGTAGTTGTATAGTTTCTTGTATATCCGTGGGGGGCAGGGGGGTCGTGATGCGATGGTAGGGAGGTTGAGACGTTTCTTTAGCCTTTGGAGGTTAGCACGCTGTTGTCTCGTATGTTGAGCGCTATTTATACCTTTCACATGCTAATTGAGCACACGCGTATGGTCGTGCGATCTCCTCATCTGGCTTCATAGATGTCGCGACGCTTCGCGAACGCGTGAGCAGCGAAAGCGCCAATTCTATCAATTCGGGTGGCAGAGGGCCGCTCAATGTGGGTATCAAGCCCGTGAGGGCTTGCTCGATGCTTGCTCGGCTCATTTTGAAAGGTGGTCAATATGGGTTTGGGTTTGGACGTAGGCTCGGAACAGAATGTTGGTTCATTGTCGATATGCAGGCGCGTCAAGATCTCGCGCTGTCACGTGGACGCTAAGGCCGCCCCTCTTCATCGTCTTCCAACATCGACGCGTCTTCCTTCCACGTCTCCTGACCACCTCTACTATGCCGTCAATTCCGCGCGTCACGTCACATCGATCTCCTCGGCATCAAGTCTTCGTCCGAAGCCTGACACAAACAAGCTCGCCATCCGTGACCTGCACCGCCGTACGGGTATGCACTATCTTGCATTCTTCATATCGATCGACGTGAGTTACCACAAAGATGTTGAAATACAGGAATATTTCGGGATGTTACCTGCTGGCTACGAGCTCATCCTGCATGCGCGATGGCACATGTCCACTCTTCTCGACGCCAAATCCTTGATATTTAGAACACGGCATACACTGTAACATACCGCTTTTCGTTTCCAGCTGTATCCGTACTGATGCTACTAAACTTGTTCGTAATACATCCGTATAGAGGATCGGTACGACTACATCAAGCGCTACTTCTCGTCGTTTTCTTTCGTCATACCGTTGCAGTAACACCTCTAGCTATACTCACCGCTGCCGACATCCAATCGGCGATCGCGATCCTGCAAAGACGAAGTAGCAAACCGCGCCAAGCACACCAAAGCTATGTTAACGACACAGATATTGCGCCATACTACTGCTACTACTGTCTCGAATACATTCTAGCGTCGCACCGTAGAGGCGCGGTTCGGCTGTCAGGCTGCTCCTACTTCCGAACACGTCAACTCGGCTTGACCGACATATTGCGCATATGGCTCCTGATCGTTATTATCGTGCTTGATAGGGCACCGTCGTAGGCGCATTCGTCAAGATGGCGAAGGTGACATGGAATCGGTATATGTGTGCGACGCTCAACGTCCGTAATAGGCAGAGAAGGGGGTACGAAAGCCATGCTGACGACGGGATCTTGCATTTTGACAGCTCGGTTACCTGGCGAGAATGTCTGAGATGAGCTCATCGCGATTCACATGTGGTATTTAGACCTGCTTCACATCCTCTCACCACAGGTATCAGTAAACGCAAGCACATCCAACGCAAACATCACAGATATCTTCGAGGCCTTCTAGATTTATCTTTCAAAGCTTTTCACTCTACGCATCGAATCGCCTTCAAAAAACAAAAATTCTATATACTGTCTTCATCCCAGCGAAACTCACTAAAAGACAAGATGTATCTTGCTATCTTCCTCACAAGCTTGCTCACCAGCTTGCCCATCACACTTTCAGCTCCTGTATCGACCACTCCCGAACTCTACGGCGAGCCATACAACTGCGGTTACGTTCTCACCATTCGGAACAGTAGCGCCTATGCTGGTATCTCAGCATATCCTCCAGCTCAGGCTGAGTGTACAGCAATCTACTACAACGATACGATCCCAGGATACCAAGACGCGTACGCTTATAGCTTGTTTGGGGGCTGTGAATGTTCATTTCACCTGTAAGTATAACACACTTTGAGAGATACATGTCGCTCGATACGCTACGTACGCAAGAATACAATACTGCCCGGCAACTACATGCTGTTTGGGCTTGTGTTCCAGCAGTATTATAACAGTGGCTGACAACTACTAGAAGCGAGGACGACTGCAAAGGAGCTACCGATCCACCGATGTACGAGGGACCGGCTGGAGAGCCTGGCGAAGAACCCTGCTTCGAGGATCCCAATCCCAAATGGTACAAGTGCGCGACCTTGGCTTAATTGCATCATGACGGACCCGGACATGTCCGGAGTCTTCGGCGCTCGTCACATCTTTGCGTGTCGTAGCAGCATGGCAATGCTGGCATTAGTGGTGGCTTCTTAGCGATAATGTATGTTTACGGCGTTGGTAGGCCAAATCATGCTTCACTCAGCAAAACAAAACTTATCTTTCGTCATGGTCTCTGGCTACACGTATGCGCGTGACTGATACATCAGCCGGGATAGCTTAGAACCTACTCGTAATACGATAGTCGGGCACCTTCATCGTGTTCTCATTCGTACGTGTAGGGAGGGGATAGACTGCGAATTCATTCACGCTCCCCTCAGGCGCCGGCGAACATCTATCGTTGCGGCACGGTATTCACAAAGACCCCGATACGAGTGGGGTCTGAAGTGGTTGGAGCTGACGTTCGAAGAGGTGTATCGGCCCCCAGATACGCCACACCGGTGCATGATTCATGCGCTGGCAATATACACGCACATACGCGAGCGTTGATCAATTCTTTGCAAGAGCGAATTTGTAGTTCCCCGCACATTTTGGACCCACGGCGTGGGAGGCGCGGCCCGAGCCTTCCTTGGGTACGTTCGCGCATTCCTCGAGTGATTCACACACCGGCTTGGCGCATTCCCGGGCGTTGATATAAGAAGTCGCGGATTGACTCCCGCTCCTCCCAACAGACCAGACCGTCCCCTGACAACTCTTCTCCGACAGCTCACTCCTGACCATCTCGACAACATGTATCACTTCTACTCCTTCCTCAGTCTATTCGTCTTCCTTTCACTCACTCTTGCCGCACCTCGATCCTCCCGACCGAGCCCTAGCGTCTTCGCCGCACGTGACGAATGTCACGCCCAGGGAGATATCTGTGCCGAAACCTGGATCGGTAACAAAGTACACCAGCGTCTTGAATGGGGTGGCTGTATCCCCGTCAAAGACTACAAGAAGATTACCGGATTCAAGGCCTTCAACTGCGATTGTTACTTGTACTAGTAGGTGGCGCGAAATTAAAACAACATACACATGTATACTGATCCATCTCAGCGCCGTCGACTCGGGCACATGCAACAACGGCGGAGACGAACACATCGACCAGTTCACGCGCTGTAGCGGGCTTCTAACTAAAGAAGAGCGGCGTTGGAAGAAGGCGCCCAACTACTACAGCTGCTCGCCTGGACCCCTCACTCAAGGCTGAAGGGCTGAAAGCTAGCGCGCGCATGCTATATATGTTGGGGTATGTAGCGTTGGGAACTTTCCAAGCTTGCCGCATACATACAGTCCATGCAGCGAACTAAGCTACTTGGAGGACGCGTTGTAGCTTCCAGAGCGCGCTAAGATGCTTTCTTTGTTTTTTTGTTGTTTGCTTTATCTCGCGTTCCACGGTAACGGGCTCGTGTTGGGAAGGCGCTATCACGGTCGAGACTTTGTGCAACGCTGGAATAGTAGTACAACGGCAATCGTCTTCCTGACGCATCTGGTTATAAACCTCTTTACAGTCACAGTCCTTCTTCTGCAGTGAGAGCCCAAGAAACATACGTCTACCATGCAGTTGCCCACGATGTTGTCCACACTATTCATCTTCGCTTCCGTGCTCACCACTTCCATCGCTATTGCTGCTGAGGCCCTTCCGTAAGTACTAACTCTAGGCCTTATTCTCAACCTAACTAACACCCCTCAGCCCCGTCGCCCACGTCACCGACTGCAATGGCAAAACCTACATGCTCGACACCACCGGCCAGAACAACGTCCGCGTCATCACTCAGGACAGAGCAGACGGCTACTACATCCAGCCTGTCAGCTACCACGTAGACTCAGGCACCACGTGCAATTTCTACAGCGAATCAACCCGCGGCGTTGGGTATCCCATCGGCAAATACTATGGCCCCGTAGACGGAGACTTTGTGGGTGACTGGGCTGCGTTCTACGAGTGCTGGGATGTGGAGTCTGAGATTGAGTATCCTCCTAGGCGGAGAGGGCAGAGTTTCAGAGCTTAAGTGAGTTAAAAGCGATGAATGATAGCATGTGGATGTTCTGATGGTACGTGTGGTCCAGGAACGGGCTTGATGTCGCAGCTTGCTGACCACACCTGCAGTAGTGGACGTGGTCTCCGTGGATCGACCCCAGGCTTCATGGTGGATGATTGCGTGAAATTTGGAGTGGATTTTTGATTTCGAGATTGGTTACATGCCTATTCCTTTGGCCAGAATATGTCCAGTAGTGCATGATGTGTATGAAGGTGGAGGGGGATGGTGGACCGGGCCGGAGAAGGAGGCATGTGAGTTAGCATTCTTGTACATAATTAAATGATATCCTGAGCGTCTGCACTGCACGTTCAGATAACGAACTCATGAAATGACGACAGTGTTCACCATCATGATGTCTGTTGAGTGCAATCGGGAGTCCGAGGTATTCGCATTGGTGGCCTTATCGATAAGCATCGCGACCCACTTTTCTTTTCGTCGCTCCGTCGCGAACTTTCCAACTTCCTACATGCGCCCCAGATAATCCACTCACTACCCACCACACACCGCCAACATGATCCGCAAACAAGCCCGAGAACGTCGCGACTACCTCTACCGCCGCGCGCTTACCCTCCGCGACGCCGAACTCGCTTCGAAAAGAGCAGCGCTGAAAGCTTCGCTCGCCAGCGGCAAGCCACTGTCAAAAGATGTCGCCAACGACCAGAACCTACGACAGGATTTCAAGTACGATGAGAGCAGAGCGGATAGAACGGCAGAAGAGGAGCTGGGCTTGGACGACGAGTATGCGCAGTTGTCGGGCGTGGTAGATCCGAGGATATTGGTCACAACTTCGAGAGGTACATAAACCTAAGACAGCTGGGAAGACAGAGCGATATGCTAATGCTGGTATAGATCCATCGAGTAGATTGGGGACGTTCGCCAAGGAAATCAGATTACTGCTACCTACGTCGATACGATTGAATCGCGGAAACATGGTCCTGCCAAACCTCGTCGAAAGCGCGAAATCCGGTGGACTGAGCGATATCGTCCTTCTCCACGAGCATAGAGGAACACCCACTGCCTTGACAGTATCACATTTCCCCCACGGTCCAACCGCCAGCTTCTCATTACAGTAAGGCACTTCGGCCCATTTCCACGTCTATCTACTGACACAACCCCAGCAACGTCGTCCTCCGCGCCGACATCCCCAACGCCTCTCGCGGCACAGTCTCCGAATCCTACCCGCACCTAATCTTCGAAGGCTTCTCCACCAAACTCGGAGAACGCTGCGTGCAAATCCTAAAACACCTATTCCCGCCCCGCGAAGCCACCGCCAAAGTAGGAAACCGCGTCGTCACGTTCAAGAACATTGAGGATACGATAGAGGTCAGGCACCATGTTTTTGTCAAGACAGGGTACCAGTCTGTGGAACTGGCGGAGGTGGGACCGAGGATGAGCATGAGGCTGTTTGAGATTAGGGCGGGGACGTTGGACAATAAGGAGGGGGATGTTGAGTGGCATCTCAACCAGTACACGAGGACGGGAAGGAAGAAGGAGTATTTGTAGAGGCCAATCGAGAAAGCCAGAGCGCGTGTTTTGTGTGGAGAATAGAAGAGAAGAACGCATATATGGCGCAAAGGATTATTTTTAGTATGAGATACCACAAATCAAAAGCGATGTTCGGAATCTAATGATGAACAACGAACAGGAACTTTCTCCGGATGCGTCGAGCGTTTTAACACGTTTATATTATAAAGTGACGCTATGGCACTACTCGATTGTAACCCTTACACCTTTATGATCCTTCGTCATCGGCACAAACATATCATGATCATATGCCACATCCTCTTCTGTCGTATCAAACAATCGCATCTTCGGTATCACACGCAGCACCGTCGCAGCGAGACACAGATTAAGCTCACACAAAGCCAGACTACAAGAACAGTGTTAGTCATCCATCTCCAACTCAGTACAAACACAATCCACTTACTTCTTCCCCAAACAAGAGCGACTCCCCTTCGACCAAGAAAGTATACTGCGCTCCGGCTCCTTCCTCCTCTGATCATTCTCATCCAACCACCGCTCCGGCACAAAAGCATAAGAGTCAGGGAAAGCGCGTTCATCGTGATGTGTAACGTACGACGACATGCCGATCGCATAGCCCTTAGGAAGAACGTATTCAACAGGCTTCTTATTCCATTCGCCACGGTACAGCAGCGTCTCCTCCGTCGGAATACGAGCTGTACGACTAGAAACGCCATAAGATAGTCTCAGTCCTTCTTGGATGACAGCGCCGAGGTATGGTAGTGTTTCCAGGACTGTCCATCCGGGCAGGTTTAGCGGGTCTTCTACAACGGTTTCGAGTTCTTGGGTAAGCTTAGCGAGGATTTGGAGGTTGGTTAGGAGATGGTATGTCATCACGGCCAAAGCCCAGCTCGTGGTCTCTGTGCCGGCACCTAGTACAGCTTGTGCCTCATGGACTAAGCGTACCACGCCCTTATCCCCGGCACCGAGGTCAGACTGCAGGAGCGAAGCAAATATCGTCGGTCGATCGTACGTGATTCCCGCGTCCAGATCCGCCTTCGCTTTGAGCACTCTATTGGGCAAATCAACCTGCAAAGTCTTAACCATCAACGCGATATCCTTGGGCAAATAGTCGATAAAAGTCGTCGCGAGCGCCGCACTCTTACTTGTCCAAGGAAAAAACCGAAACACGAAAACGGGTCTAAGCACTGCAGCCGTGGGCTCTCGGAAATTCGGGTACCACCCTTCCTGATCGAGAAACCCAAAGCTTTCGCCGAAACTGTAACTGGAGATGGCGTCAGAAGTAAAGCAGCTGTATGCCATGGCGATGTCGAAGGGTTCGTTGTCGCCGGATTGCCGCAGTAGTTTGTCGCAGAGCTGTTGGACTAGGCTGTGGATTTCGGGTTCGAGCCGTGTGATCATGGCTCGGGAGAAGAATTTCGCTAGGGGGACGCGCCGGAGTCGGTGGAGGTCGTGGTCGATGGTGCCGAAGCCGGATAATGAGATACTGGAAGAAGTTAGTGAGGCTATATGGCCGGCATGTATGTGTGGAATTGGTGGCTTACGAAGAGCCGTTGACCTGGTGCTTTGGCTTATCGCGCTTTCGGCTTCCAGTTGCGTATATCTCGTCTGCGAAGCGGATGTCGTCGCAGTGGACTTCGTTGGGGTTGATTCGCACGATGGGGCCTGGTAAAGAAGTTGTTGATTAGCTTACGCGCTGGTGTAAGATAGCCAGTGATGAGCTCACCATAAACTCTATGCATCTTACTGATCTCCTTCGTATAACAACCAAACTTGACAACATCGTGGTAGAATTCCGGCCAGTACGTCGCAGCTGCCAGTCTTGGTCCAGGAATTGAACTCAGCGGGTGGAGCGGCGAGATGTTGTAGATAGCTTCTAGCATCTTGAACACTAGCCAGAGGCCTGCGAGACCCAGTATATGACGCGCTGATGGCAGCCATGGTGTTGACGATGTCTCAATACTCGTTGAATCCATGCTGCGTCACAATGTGAGGAAAGAGACGATACTTTCGCATGGAAAGACATTGCTTTTACCCTAGTTCCAGGGTTCTCTTCTCTTACAAGGTAGAAAGCCGCTATCCTATGCAGCCGCTTCCTGCGGCACACGCTACGTATCTAAGTGGGGGAAAGTGCCGGAGCGTGTTATAATGGGAACATATTTGGGGGCCATAACGATTATTCGGTGCCAGACTACAGTTTTGGATACGAAACATGTGACAAAGAAAAACAGAACGGGACGCCAGCACATAGCTGGTTGGGATGGACGTTGAAGATGATGTTCTAGGCTTGTAGATGTGGGGTGCGGCTTGTCTCGAGTCATGGAAGCTAAAGATCTTGATCGGAAACTAGTCATCCGCGAGTGGGCGCGGTGCGGTGGCGCGTAAGGACCGGTGTAGCTATTTTGATCTCAGGATGTGTTTCTGAAGAGTTGTTGCACGGTGAAGGATTTGACGCGTTGTAGAATTTGCGAAAAGCATTTCGTTGTCATTCATCATGCTCGTAAACAAGTATCTCATACATCTCATGATATGCCAGACCTGCAGGCGGTGTTCAACTGTACAACTGTACATTTCCCGGTCCATCAAACCTTTGTCTTCTTCCATCACGCGCTCCTAGGTAGCCTGACCATCTTTCCCCTCGCGGCCAGCGCCAGCCAACCAGCGATAAGGCAAGCGCCACCAATTGGCGTGACAGGCCCCAGTGACTTGTACTTCTTTGCATCCAGCACAAGCAGGTATATGCTTCCAGAGAACATGGTCATGCCGGCGGTGAAGAGGGCCATGGCGATTTTGTTTTGCGGCGCGACAACGGATGTCATGGTTAGGACGACGGAGTGAACGAGCTGTTGAGTTTGTTGTCAGCATGTGTCCATATTCCATAATGATAGAATGAGATGCGGTGTCCTATGCGAAGAGGTGCACAGAGATGACTTCCACCACCACCCCTCCACCGCCCCTCCGCCTCCCCTCCGCCTCCCCCACCCACCCAAAATGTTGCGCCTGCATACACCTCATTCACTGGTACTGCAGTGACACAGAGCGGCGAGCTACTCGCAATGTCAAAGGTACCCTCTCGTTCAACCACTGTGACCATCAAAGATACCGGCTGCAAACCCTACAAGACAAGAACAAATCACATACCTGATACTGAGCCGCAGTCCCCCAATTCGCCAACGCACTCGGATCCCTAATCCGACTCTTCAACCCATGCGCCCCAAACGCACCCAGCGCCACACTGCTCGCCCCCAGCAGCGTGCCAATCGTCCAGAAAGGCGACATGCTGCTATACGTCGTGCCGTAGGATCTGCTGCTGCTGCTGCTGTAGCCGCTCTCGTAGATGGGATCGTGGGAGCGTGATTTGCGGGAGGACGAGGAGGAGGATTTCTTGGATGAAGACATAATATGGTGGGTGGGTGGGGTGAAAGAGTGTGGGTGGTTGGATTGGGGGGTTGGGGAGGGAGGTGGGAAGGTGGGAAGGTAGTGGTGGGATGGGTTTGATGGGGGATGCGTGCCGCGGTTTGCTGCGGCGGGAGACGGAGGTGTGCGTTGTCTGATTGGTCTGTGCTCACAAGGGACGGGAAGTGGAGCGTTTGATGAAGGTTGTTATATTTGTGTGTGGTATCGTAGATGCTGGAGTTTGCACCTTTCGTAGTTTTTAAACGCCTTAACGCCGTTTTGATGCGAATGGTATGCCGCGCATCTCGCAAAGTTTGCGACCAAATAGACCAGTGTAGTGTCCCATCACCCACGACCTAGTCCGAATCGATCTCCATAACTTCTCCCTCCGCCTGCTTCTGTGGTTGTGCCTTCATCGCGCTCGTGGTCGCTTTCCTCTTCCCTTTACCAGCCTTCTGTTGTGCCGCCTTGATCTCCTCCTCAGAAACGAGCGCTCCGTCAATGCGCAAGAAGCCCTTGCCCTTTCCTTTTCCATCCATTCTGCCTTCTACATCTCGTATCCTCACTCGTAGCTCTCCCTCTACCTTCTCTCCGTCACCGTTCTCCCACCAGCCTCCCTCGTCCGACAATTTGCCATCGTATCCCTGCTTCGTTTGACCGGATTCTTCCGAATGCCACGACCAGTCTGAGGGCAGACATTCCTTGAGTATGCTCACGGGGAAGGTGTTGAGATGTGCGAGTGTGAGATGCGTCTTCGCTTGGTCGGTGATGTGCGCGGTGAGGTATGCATTTCGGGTTGGGCGCCATACGATGAAAGAGGCTGTGACCCAAAGGAACGGCGCTGCGTATTCATCGACATGCCTGAGGAGTAGCGGCTCAGCAGGCGCATTGTCGTTGGAACTGGATTCGCTTCGTTTTTGTGACTGTGACTTGTTCTTGGATTTCGGATCCGATACGGCGGGTGGTGTACTTTGCAGCTCTACATTTTTGTATGCGAGTACTACGCCCTTCGCAGGTGGGAAGTACGTGAGGAGTAGTGGTGATAGTACTGTTGCGCATACTGCTGAGAAGGGATCCGCGAGACACGAGGGTGGGATGCAGACGTATTGCGATATGCGCTCAATGTGAAACAAAGACGCGTCTTCACTCTGTACTGGAGCCATTTTTAGGAGAGACCAAGCCTGTCACGTCGCGTAATGTGGTTTGCGATCGCGTTGTCGCGGAAATGCTGAGCTGAGAAAAAGTTGGAGATGTCGGCACGCGCAGATACCGACATGTGGGGGTCAACGCTAGCGTGCATGCGGTTAGTCAATACCGCAAGTAAGCTGGAGAGTGAAAGACGAAGATGCATAAGGATTCAATTGAATAACGCTCATGGCGGCGTCCTTATCTTTAATCATGTCATCCGATACACAAGCAAGCCTAACGCCAAGCGGCATAACACCAGATACAAGCGCCATCTATATGACGCTCATGATGCTACCAATATTCAGCTCGCCTTCGAATTATGTTTTACATTCGCTTTCCCCGCGCGTTCGGAATCGATCATCTCCGTCCTCCCTTCTCCACTTCCTTGCGCTGGAGCTTGGTAACCACTCGCTGCAGAGCTGTCTTGATCTCGCCCT